TTGAATGTGAAACTGATGATGTGCCCTGTAAACTTTCACTCAATCCACAATAAAAACCTTAAATTAAAAAAAAAAAAAGGACAATTGGAAATATGAACACTGTTAAGGAGTATTTTTATCTTTTAGAGATACATTTTGTTAAGTGCTGTTGAGTCGGTTTCAACACACAGCTACCCTACGTAGGGTTTTCAAGAAGCAGCTGAAGGGCTCGAACCGCCAATTTTGTGGTTTGTAATCCACTGCTGATCCTACAGCAGCCTAAGGAAATATTAATAGATAAACAGATTTTCTTTGGCACTTGCTTCAAAATAATATAGTAAGAAGTGGATGAACATGTAAATGTGGAGGACTGGCCGTACATTTCAAGTTGTTCTAGCTGGAGAATGAGTACTAGTGGCTTATTTACTGTTCTGTTTACTTTTATATATATTAGAAATTCTCTTTATAATTTCAAATATATACTTTCATATATTTAATATAGAGCTTGTTAAACATCTTTATTATTTATCTTACAAAGTCTAAATGTTAATAATTGACAGATAGTGTTGTTTTCCACAGCACAAGAATTACATTCATTAGAAAACTGCATTTAAGGTATTTTATCAGTGTATCTGAAATACTAAGTTTAATAAGCATTCTGTCACATACTCCTTAATTCTGATTTAATTTCACTAATTGTAAGATTCCCTTTGGGAGGGAAAGCTTATATAAAAAACAAAAACTAAAGCGAGACCCAAAAAAGAATACATAGAATATTTTAAGTCTATTACTCACAAGTTAATTAAGACAGCACACAACAATATCAACAATAATTTATCATACCTTACAAGCAGCAGAACAGAATGGTGCTAAATCAAGCATGAGTGGAAAATCTACATGTCTGTTCACTTTGCGAAGACTCAAGCCAGCCTTAAAAAGACCAAAATATATTTAATGTAGTAAAATTAGATTGAAAGCATAGTGCTTTATTAAAACCAAGAGAAATTCTAGAAGTTACTTTTCTCATAGCTATAAAATTGTGACTAATGAATAGTCCAAACTGATGAATGACTAAATTAATAATTAGGTTTCACAAACTGTTACTGCAAAGATTATTTACTTACATTGGCATTTGACATTTAATATTGGAATAATCACTCTCACTGTGGCTTTTCAACACCCATGGAAAAATAAACCCAATCAGTGACAAAATCTACACTACTGACACATGCTACCATGAATATCTGTCAGACTAAAGTATCAGGAGCCTGGTATACTAGGCCTGACTCAGTGACTGGCTAACTGGACGGCTGCAGGCAAGTGACAGAATTTAATTCAGCGTCAGTAACCTCACCTAGGTCAGAGCAGGTACAAGGAGGTTAGATTAGGTTCTTCTCAGTTCTAAAACTCAATGGTAGTCATTCATTACAAAGAAAAACTACCCTACACATTACAAATGTTTATCAGTAAAAGTATATGTTATATATTACATAAAAATAAAATGAACCATTAGTGTTCTTTTCTATTTTTAATTTCCAAAGGCAGACCCTCCAAAATCTATAGTTGTATTGTTGTTGTTGCTAAGTACCATAAAGTCAGTTTTGACTTATAGCGACCCTGTGTATGATTTCCAAGCAGCGGCTAGAGGGTTTGAACCACTGACCTTGGAGTCCAGTGCATATCCTACAGCACCACACTAAGACCCATGTAATGATAATAAAAGCTAACTGATAAGACTGTCAAAGGTATAGGGTAGAACACCCATGAGAAGAAATGGGCTTCACTGGATTGTGAAAATACAAACCTGAGCTGTCTGGGCAGACAGAAAAAAACTGACAGATACAACCATTTATGAAGGGCTTTCATGACATTAATGATTAGTCCTGATGTGGCACTGTAGGATAAGCACTGGACTAACTGCAAGATAAGTGGTTCAAACTCACCAGAATCCATATATAGGGTCAATGAGTCAGAACCGACTCAACAGCACTTAACAACAACTTACAATTTGTATATTAACCATATAATTTTGTCACAGATCTGTTGGCTGTTTATTTTGTACCTTTCAAAAAACAAACAAAAACTACCACTTCATTTTTTGGCTGAAGCACAACCACTTAACTTATTTGTTTTTCACATGATCTTTAGCATTTAGAAGACTTAAAGGAGCTCTGCTAGAGTAGTGGTTACGAATCAGGCTGCGAACCTCAGGCTCAGCAGTTCGAAACTACCAGCTGTTCCGCAGGAGAAAGATGAGGCTTTCTGCTCCCATACAGATTTACAGCCTCGGAAACCCTGTACAGGGTGGCTATGAGTCAGAACCGACTCCACAACACATAACAACAACAACAACAACAACATGAGGTTATATCCCAGGAATAAGTCTAGAATCTTTTAAAATTTAAAGATGTGCCATAATTTCTTTGCCTCATTTTTTACCAAGTAATCTCCATAAACATTTAATGCCAGAACTACAATAATTTCAGATAAATGTGTCCTCCCCACTTGGTGCTTTCCTGCTGAGAAATTATCCCATAATAAGAGAGATGTGTAACCAACTCACTGCCATCTAGTCAGTTCTAACTAGCAGCAACCCTATAGGACAGAGTAGAACTGCCCCACATGATTTCCAAGTCCACTATCATGGGAACACTGGATGTTTTAAAATTAAGAAAGGTGTACGACAGGGTTGTATACTTTCACAATACTTATTCAACCTGTATGCTGAGCAAATAATCCGAGAAGCTGGGTTATATGAAGAAAAACATGGCATCATGATTGGAGGAAGACTCATTAACAACCTGTGATATGCAGATGATACAACCTTGCTTGCTGAAAGTGAACAGGACTTAAAATATTTACTGATAAAGATCAAAGAGCACAGCCTTCAGTATGGATTGCATCTCAATGTAAAGAAAACAAAAATCCTCACCACTGGACCAATAAAAAAACATTCTTATCAATGGAGAAAAGATTGAAGTTGTCAAGGACTTCATTCTTCTTGGATCAACTATCAACACTCAAGGAAGCAGCAGTCAATAAATCAAACAATGTATGCATTAGGCAAATCTGCTACACAAGACCTTTTTTAAAGTTTTGAAAAGCAAAGATGTCAGCTTGAGAACTAAGGTGCGCCTGACCCAAGCCATGGTATTTTCAATAACCTCATATGCATGTGAAAGTTGGACAGTAAATAAGGAAGACTGTAGAAGAGTTATGGTGTTGGAGAATACTGAAAGTGACATGGACTGCCCACAGAACCAACAGATCTGTGTTGGAAGAAATACAGCCATAGTGCTTCTTGGAGGCCAAGAAGGCCAAACTTTGTCTCTCATAATTTGGACATATTGTCAGAAGGGACCAGTTGCTGGAGAAGGATATCATGTTTGGTAAGGTGGAGGGTCAGAGAAAAAGGGGAAGACCCCTAGCGAGATGGATTGGTAAAGTGGCAGCATCAATGGGCTCAAGCGTGGCAACAATATTGAGGTTGGCCCAGGATCAGGCAGTGTTTCGTTCTGCTGTGCATAAGTCCGCTATGAGTCGGAGATGATTCGATGGCACTTAACAACAACAACAACAACAACAGGTGCTCCTTGGAAATACTATGCAGGGTTGGCTATGAGTTAGAAGTGACTTGACGGCACTTAACAACAACAAACCTTTATGGAAGCCGACTACCACATCTTTCTCCTGTGTAGTGGGTGGGCTCAAATCACCAACCTTTTGGTTTGCAGTGTCTTTAACATAGTATGAATCTTTTTCTCGAGAATTATTTTTGGATTCTCTAGTCTTATATTCCACCACTCATCTGTCAGTTTGTCGTACTGTGGTGGCTTGTGAGTTGCTGTGATTCTGAAAGCTATGCCACCGGTATTTTAAATACTAGCAGGGTCACCCATGGTGGACAGGTTTCAGATGAGCCTGACCGAAGCCATGGTATTTTCAATAACCTCATATGCATACGAAACCTGGACAGTGAATAAGGAAGACTGTAGAAGAATTGATGATTTTGAGTTAGAGTGTTGGAGGAGAATATTGAAAGTGCCATAGCTGCCAAAAGAATCAACAGATCTGTGTTGGAAAAAGTGCAGCCAGAGTCCTCCTTGGAGGCCAGGATGGCCAAACTTCGTCACTCATACTTAGGACATACTATCAGGAGGGACCAGTCACTGGAGAAGGAGATTATGTTTGGTAAGGTGGAAGGTCAGAGAAGAAGAGGAAGACCACCAATGAGATGGACTGGCCAAGTGGCACCATCGATGGACTCAAGCATGGCAACAGTAGTGAGGTTGGCCCAGGATCGGGCAGTGTTGTTTCGTTCTGCTGTGCGTAAGGTCGCTATGGCAACAGTCTTATATTTAAACTTTGTTTTTCCCTTGTCTTTATTTTTTTTAAAGTATTTTCCCATTATCATTAAAATAGAAATCTGATGATCTGTACACTGGACACTTAGGCCTAACATCTGGCATGACTTACAACGACTGGGATGTACATCTTTGTATGCATCTCTATTTCCTTGCTATTGGGTATCACAAGTGGAATTACGTAGTCAAGAATAATTACTTTTGTTCAAAAACTGTTCTATGCAAAATATTACCTCTTGTTTTTGATACACACTGTTAGAGTACTTTTTCTAAAAAGTGTTATCAACTTATACTCCCACTGCTGGTACATAAGAGTGCCAATATTCCACTTTATCCTCATTAACACTACAACTTTGCCAGTTAAAAAAGGCATCTTACTATCATTTTATTCTACGTATATTTTGCTGGAAATAATGGACTTTTTTTCACACTTGCTTAGAATTTCTATATCGTCTTCTATGAACTGTCATTCATGTCTTTTTTTCCATCAAATTTATTATTAAAACCAGTTGATGAGTTGATTCCAACTCATGATGACCTCAGCTGTGTCCCAGTAGGCTCTCAGTGGCTTTTTCCATAAGGAGGCCCCCAGGTATTTCCCTAGAGGTACCACTGGGTTGGTTAGCAGTGGAGCATGTGGATTGTTGGCACCACCCAGGGACTACTACTTTACTTGAAGGGGCTTGGTATTTTCCTTTTTGAGAGTTCTTTATATATGTTATTGTTAAGTGCCATCGAGTCAGTTTCAAATCATAGCAACCCTGTTAAGGGTCTACCCAAGACTGTACATCTCTGTAGAAACAGAAAGTTTCATCTTTCTTCCGTGAAGTGGCTGGTGGACTCAACTGCCAACCATGTGGTTAGCAGTCCAGTGCTTAGGATGCTAATGTTTTGTCATATTTATGACAAACATATGTTTAGTTTGAGATTTGCCTTAAGTGTTGTGGATGTTTCTGACAACAAAGTTATAAAGTCACTACAGAGTAACAGTTCTGCAGGGATGCTGAGTGACCAGAAGCTTAGGAATATTCTTCCTTACAATTCCCTACCCCTGGGAATGAGAATGTGGCTTTGTTCATACTTAAATATTGAGCTTGAGAACATGAGTTCAAGATGTCTATAAATATTTTCCTGTAAGGTTTTCCTAAATAGGGATGTAAGTACTAAATGCAAACTGTGGTATATCATAAAATTAGCTTCTTAAATCTGGCATGACACTCTCTTGTTCAGACAGAGACAAAGGCATATGTATGCTTTCTATGATGTATTCTGAGTTCATGAGAAGCTGTGTTGAGAATGGTACATCTTCTGCTCTCCATGGGTATTTCATTTCCATTGTATCCTATAACCTTGCTCACAGAAAATTAAAAATTTAATCTTTCTGTGAATGGCCATACAGAGAAAATCTATTCTTTTCAATCTACAGCCTACCTGAAATGTAGATATATAATCAAAACTTTCAATCTTTTCCTTGTGTTTTCTTTCATGGATTTTATACTTAAGAAAGCTTTCCACACAGAGGTCAGGCTAATATTCATCTAAACACTCTTACAGTCCATTTGGTGATTTACTTTATATAATTAAAAAATTATCTGTCAATAGTATTGATATATACTATAAAGTGAAGCTCCCAATTATTTCCCAAGCATTTTTCACCAAGACTTTATAACAGAATAATCAACCCCCCTTTCAACTGATTTGAACTGATTTGAAATTCTTCCCTTATTATAACAGATTTAAATTATAGTTATGTTTTGCTTAGTGACTAGTCTAACCATACTGTTTCAATTATTATACTTTTATTTGAAATCTGGTATCAGAAAAATCACCCTTCCTAACTTTTTCAGAAATGTTTTACTATTTTCACTTATTCATTCATCCTGAGGATCTTTACAATTATTTTACCAAATTCAAAAATATTCTCTCATTTAAGACAAGGGATTGAATTAAAACTATAAGTAATTGATAAAAATCCTGAAGCGTTAAACAAATTTCGGTTACCATTACAGGGTCCGGGTTCTGGCCCAAGCACCTCTTTTCTCAGTGTGATCATGACAGTTTAGGGAGCCCTGTGTGCTACTGCGTGCTTATTTGTTGTTGTTCTTAGGTGCCATTGAGTCAGTTCTGACTCAGTGTCTCCCCGTGTAACAGAGTAAAACACTGCCCGATCCTACACCATCCTCACAACTGTTCTAAGTGTTATTAATAATCTTTATTTTCTATTAATACACACACACATCATTTAGGTTCCTCTCTCCCAATTCTTCAAATATTGTGAATTGAACAATTTTAATTAGAAAAGTCTTATAAACTATGATGGCTGGAAAAGATTACCCCACAGCCAAATTTTTACATTCAACAATTACAGAACTTAGGACTCTGCAGAACACATAATAAAAAAGGACTTTTACCTGATGGAACCTTTTAAGATGGAGAATTAGGATAGCTGGAACAGCAGAAATGAGCAGTTGCTTCCTAGCATTAGTATAAATCCCTTCTCCTTTCTTTTCTGCATAAAATATAATATGTTTAGTTGTACAGTTCCATACTTATATCTACCATATAATGTAGTAAACATTTACATAGAGAAATCATACCATGTTTTGAAAAGGCTTAAAAAAGAATTGAACTTCTGGTTATCGGGTGCCCTCCTACTGCTTTCAGAAAATCCACAAAATGAGAGTAATAGGGTACACACTTTTAAAGACAAATAGGAGAGGTGATGCTTGAAACAAAATTTTGGAAGGTGGGAAACAGGTAAACTAAGTAGTTCATGAATTAACTGATGTTACTACCAACCCCTCAGCTAACAATACACCTGTAGATGAACAAGTTTGGTTAATTATTCAATAAAGTGATGGCAATTGTGTCTCAGTAGGAGGTTGTTAGAAAGTACTTACTACAAGATTTGAATGATGCCAACAGTATATTTACTTTGGATTTATATACTTACTTTGGATTAATGTAGGCTAATATTTTTTTCCTTCTTCTATCTAGACATTTCTTTAATTAAAAACCCAAACTGGTATCATAAAATTGATTCTGACTCACATAACCCCTATGAGTTACAGAGGAGAACTGAGCTCCACCAGGCTTTTGTGGCTGTACGCTTTACAAAGATTACTAGGCCTTTCTTCCATGGTGTCACGCTGGATGAGTTTGAACCATCAGGTTTTCAATTAGTACCGTAATGCACCCAGGGCTCTATTTCTTTAATTAATAACCAATAAAGATTAGAGTATCCTCTCCACTTAACCAAAAGACATTTGAACTGCAAGGTTGGTGGTTCAAGCTCACCAGCTGCTCCTCGGAAACCCTATACAGGGTCGCTATGGGTCGGAACTGACTTGATAGCACTTAACAACAGCAACAGAGATACACCACAAATTTCTTACTTGCCAATTTCCCTCTTTTCCACTTTTCTCTGTTCATCTAAACATAACTATATTATCCTGGTAGCTTCACATCATACAGTTATATGAGCTGTTCAAATTTATACTTTATGAATTTGTAGAAAATTGATGGGATTTATGAAGCACATTAATCTTACTAGTGATATACTATAAATTTTAGGAATATTACTTCTGGATAAGGAGCTCTGGTAGCGTAGTGGTTACGAATCAGGCTGCAAACCTTAAGGTCAGCAGTTCGAAACTACCAGCTGATCCATGGGAGAAAGATGAGGCTCTCTGCTCCCGTAAAAATTTACAGCCTTGGAAACCCTGTACAGGGTCGCTATGAGTCGGAACCAACTCCATGGCACATCACCACCACCACTACTTCTGGACAGATTTCAGACAGCTAGTTCTCTGAAATAAGGGCATGTGAATTTGAAGCTTCAATTTTTTCCAACCAAAATCCACTGGGAACTACTTTTCCCTGTAAGTGTCTTAAATGTTGAGACACAACTGTGAATAAAACAGTCCCTGATTCCAAGTCTTCATCTGGAGACAAGGTTCTAAGATTCTCTCATTTGGGGAACTATCAGATAACCCATCAGTACTAAAAGAGTAATAAGCCAAATGTTTACCTGCATAACTGTCCTTTTGGTATTTCTCTTTCTTTTCAGTACAATTCTCACAAAGAAGCTTGTTATTCCCCATTAGTAATTCCATAGATGTAAACTGGTAGAGACAGGACTGAACTGAACATTCTTTAGAAGTGGTTATATAGCTCTGAGAGAGGGTCTGAAAAGCATTTTGGGGGCTATCAGACATCATATGCTTCTCTTCTGTAAAACATAAATTATTTGGAATATTTAGTGGTTGATTTTCTCTGTCGACATCTCTGTCTCCAGTTACACTGTTGCTCAAATGAAGTTCAGAAATAGCTCCAGCCATTTCCTCATCACCGCTGTCCGCATGATGTAGCAATTCACTTGCTGGTAGATGGTGGAAGGGTCCATCCGTGTGCATGCAGGACACATTACTGGATCTAAACAACACAGTCCGCTGTGAGACACTTTCCGATTCTGAGGCCTCGCTGTCAGCATCAACACTACTTTCAGAATGACTGGCTTCCTTTTCACTGCCGTCCGTAGGGCTTTCATTCAGAATTGATTCCGTATTCATCATGATGCTTGCAAAAGACACTGAAGAGTTCCCATTCGTTTCGAGGCTCTCATTTTTCGGACATATGACAGCAGTTTTCTCTTTTCCAGATGACAAATTTCTTATACGTTTTCTGTCATGAATTAGTTGTTTCTGTAAAGTGACAAGTGTTTTCAGAGAAAAAATCTTGTTATCTTATTGAAAATAAAATCTGGTAAGTCTAATTTAGACTTTTCACAATTATTAAATATTACTTCTAGTATCCCTGAAATCCATGTTCCAAATCCACCTAAAGTACGATAATAGTTTCAATTTAAAAGTAAACCTTTGCATAAGATACTAGCAAGTTGTTGTTGTTGTTAAGTGCCATCGAGTCGGGTCCGACCCATAGCGACCCTGTACAGGGTTTCCGAGGGTGTAAATCTTTACGGGAGTAGAAAGCCTCATCTTTCTCCCGCGGAGCGGCTGGTAGTTTCGAACCGCTGACCTTAAGGTTCGCAGCCCGATTCGTAACCACTACGCTACCAGAGCTCCTTATACTAGCAAGAGCAGTTACTATTTACAGGGAAGGCAACGGGACTTTGCAAACACTGGCTACGAGGGAGTCTTTTTAACTGTAAACCTTTCCATACTTGTTGATTTTGGAACAAAGGAACTGTACTACCTTTTTTTTTTACTTAAAGAAAAAAAACTTATTTTCTTTAAAACAAATTAAAAAGTAAATTTTAAGTTATATTATGACACATTACAATAGTTAACGATCCAGAAGAAAGTATTTGTATCTAGTCTTTAGTTTCCTGGTGTGGCTTAATGAGCCAGACTGCAAAGCCATTTGAACTGCAAGGTCAGCAGTTCAAGCTCACCAGCTGCTCCTCAGAAATCCTATAACAGGGTTGCTATGGTTTGAAACCAACTTGATGGCATTTCACAACAACAACGACAGTCTACAGTTTGCTTATTAAATACATTTTTTAAACACACTGGGTATTGTAAACCTGTTTCTTGTGAAAGAATTTGGTAATAATCAACAACAAATTTAATCAAATATTTTAAGCTACTTGAAATATTCAATGTTTCCACACAGCTAAAATCTTTTTCAAGTTTTCTTTTCCTATTACTTACCTTAAGGGCTAAAACAAGAAACAAAGAAAAGACGTCATGAATTACATACAGATCAGGTATTTGCTTTCAGTTATTTTGAGGGAAGATACTTTGGGGAGAAGAGAGATGAATTATAAAAATTATCTGTGCCTCAAACTTTCATCTTCAAAACCAGGATAATGACATTAGGTTTCTGTGTTTACCAAACATCCTGAGCTCCTTGAATTAAAACAAAACATTCATTTTCATTCTATATATTTAGTCTACTAGAGCCCATGTGGAGTCCTTGTGCTTCACTATAGAATAAACAGTGGACTAGTAACAGCAAGGTCAGCTTATCCTACAATGCCACATCAGAATGAAAATAGCTGTCTGGAATACAGTTAATCTAACTTCTAGTTCAATGATTTCCAAATCCAGGTGATCATCAAAATCACCTAACAGTTTGGAAAATACAGACCAAGGCAATACCATTTAGAAATGCTGATTCAGAAAGTTTGGGGCTGGGTTTGAGAATCTGCTTTAAAACAGTTCGTACGCTATTACGCTGATCAGCCCATTATTGGATCTTTTGAGCTTGACTATTTTATCTATCCTTTCATACTTTCAGGGAAATATAAAATTACCCATTTCCATTCTCATTTTGTGCTTGGTCTATAACAATTTACTGAAATAGTCTCCTAAGTTTCTAGTGTTATAAATCAAGACAAAGGATTGATAAATTTCTAAGGGGGCATCAAAAAGTTTGTAGAAATTCTCTATCTTTTCATTCCATTTTCCCATGAACTTTTTAAAGCCCCCTGATATTCTGAAATGGTATTTGAAACCGATGAAATATTCTTTACAATCAGAACACTGATAGAAGGGTAGAGGCTAAGAGCATAATTCTGGAACTAGACTGCCTGGATTCAAATTCAGACTGCATCTGCTTACATGGCTGCCACATCTCATTATGCAGTTTCCTCATCTAATAAATAGAAGTACCATCCACACTAGGTATCTTGGAAATTAAACAAGATAATGCATACACGAGCCCCAAACAGTATTTGGCCCATAGTAAGAAACGAAGCATTAGCTATTATTATCGGTACAATCATAGGGATAATCACAGCTGTCTGCTGAGGAACCAGTTCTACTGGTTCCCTTGACCCTCTCAACTCTGGGCTACTTATTTTCATGTGTAAGCGCTGCATGAAACACCTGAGCTACAGCAGTGAGGAGGATGTAAATTGTGTTTCTAGTCTCACAGCTTTCAATCAATTACAATGGATGTAACTATAACTGGAGATAAGTGCCAGTGGAGGTAGTGCACACTAGCCTTGTTTGAATAGTTTTCTAGCACCTGCTATCTGTATGAGGAATAGCCATACTACTTAATCTTTCTCTTGACTCCATAAGATTGATGTAAATAACTGAAAATATGATCAACACAGTAAGAACTCAAAAGGTTGGATACAATTATTATGAAAGAAATAAAGATACTATAAAAGCCCAAAGGAAAATTACCAACCCAGAGTTGAGTGGGTCAAGAGAACCAGTAGAAAGTTAGCAGAAGGCGTAGGAGAATGGGACTGTTCTTGGAAGAAGGAAGAGCAAGTTCAAAAAACCACAAATAAAAGAGAAAAAATGAGAAGTTATGGAAATCTAGTTTGAAAAGTAGAAAGCAAGTAAGAAGAAGAGAACAAACAAAAGTGGATCAGAAGTATGAAGAGCCATGCTAGCCTTAGGGCAGTGGGGTACAAAAAAGATGACTAGCTGTGTGTTTTAGGGCTCTTCTTCTGATTAGAATGTTAGAGTATGGTGTGATGGTTGGGAGCAGAAAAATGAGGGGACAATATGACAGAAAGCAGTCAAGAGCTTCATTATAGTCCACACACTATCTTATCTCTCAGGCCAGCTGGTAATGCTTTTTGGCTCCATGCCATTTTTCAATTAAAAATTTCCAGATCTTTTACCTTCCACTGGCATTTAACTCTCTGATACATATTTACATTACTAAAGAGTTCTGGTAGCGTAGTGGTTACGAACCGGGTTGCTACCCTCGAGGTCGGCAGTTCGAAACTACCAGATGTTCCCCAGGAGAAAGATGAGGCTTTCTACTCCTGTAAAGATTTGTAGCCTCAGAAACCCTGTGCAGGGTCGCTATGAGTTGGAACCGACTCTACAGTACTTAACAACAAACAACAACAATCTTGGTTTAGTTTTCCTTGGGAGTTTTTCCTTAGCTGATGCTTCTCTAAGCCTAAGATTGCTTTTATTTAAAGGAAACATTCTGTTCTTTCTGTGGTCATGCCACTTATGGTCTTCTAGTAGAGTAAATTAAATCCAATTAAACCCAATAACATGTCAATTTGCCACATAAGTACGGATCTCTTCATGTAAAAAGTATTTTTTAATGAAGAACTAATTGAGTTGAGTTTATTAAGACTTATATGGGATAATTCAGCATCCTGATGTATCCTTAATGAAATAATAGATCTAGAAAATGATCATCAATGATTGGTAATGTCAATGAAAAAGAGCTCAAACATTACTGCCTTAGTACATGTTGTTGTTAAGTGCCATCAAGTTGATTCTGACCCATAGCGACACTGTATAGGGTTTTATGGAGCAGCTGATGAGCTTGAACCACCAACCTTGCAGTTTAAATGACTGCAGTCTGAAGCTTTAGACCAGAGCCACACCATGTAGAAGTATATCGTACCTCTTAAATAAAAATTGAATGTGAACCTCATTAGGTTTTCTAGACTTAACTACCTTAGAGAGGACATAAAAAGATTAGAGGAACCTAGGAACACAATGACAAAATGAATTACTAGTGAATCTGGAAATGTGGGAAATCTGTAGATTGAAAGAAACTAAAGAAACAAAGCAATCAATTATAAATTACAGACACTTTTTAGATATCACATTCACACAAACTTTATAAAGTAAAACAAAAAACAAGTGTTTATGATACAATTGTGAAACTTAAATAATAATTTGATACTTGGTGCATTAAAAAATTATTAACATCTTTAGATGTGATAATGGAACTGTGGCTCTGTGTTTCTTTTAAAGAGCATTTACTTTTTTATAAATATAAGTTAAGGCATATATTTGAGATTTGTTTCAAAATAATCTAGGATAAAGAAAGGAGAGAACATGAAATACAAATAGCTATGAGTTGAGAATTATGAAGCTGAGCATTATATATAAGTGAGCAAAAATAGTAAATGAAAGCTTCTTATACAATTTTCTCTACTTTTGTATATGTTTGAAATTTTCACTAACAAGAAGTTACTTTAAAAAAAATGCCTAATAGATGCACATCATCTTACTTTATCTTTAGATGAAGAATGCTTCTTGGTGGCTTTGTGTTGATGAGTATTTCCTATAGTAAAAGTGCCACTTTTTTGGCTATGATCTGTCTCCTGTGAATTTCTGTATTTACTCATTCTTCCTAAGAGCACAGGTTTTGAAACCTATGTAGAAGTCACAAAAATAACACAAAATGTCATTAACAAATGAATTCCAGATTTCATCTATTTCTAAAAATTTCTAATTCATTTAAGATACACAAAGATAACTTCCTTTACATTAACTCTTAGAAAGTAAAAACCATAGGCTATTCTTTCTTGAGAATACTTTACACATACATAGATAAACTCCAATAACAAACATACCATACAAACTCAGTTATTATATATATTTAAAAAATTATCATGATAGCAGAAAATACTCAACAAATGTCTAAATGAGTGAATGAATATTTTTCATAAAAAACTCTTTAATTAGATTTAAATTTTTTAGTCCTTACCCTTTCTTCTATTATAGGAAGTGAAATGTCAATGAAAGGATCTTTCACCATGGAGATCTCAAAGAAAGTAGATTGAGCATGACAGTTAATATTCTAATATAGACAAGACAGTTTTATAAATTCTTTAAATCAAACTTCCCAGGCAACAAACATATAGTTTTAAATTAAAAAATGCTCATAGAATTAATTGTGATTTAATCAGGCATAGCAGCACATATTGCTAACAAAAAACTAGATCTTTCCAAAACTACGACTTCAACCCAGTCTAATTTTACAATGTCATTAATGTGAATAACCTATAATACTTTAAGTAACTTCAAAATAAACCATACTTAAAAAACCAAAGAGAATAAATACATGTTTGGTGAAATTAATATACTAACATAAATAAAATATTGAATGTTAAGAAAAACTATGAAAAAAAATCAGAGAGCTTGGCTGTTTTGTAGATTTCTTAAGAGAATTCTGTTTTAAAGGATACTCTTCAGTTTGTGAGGGAGAAATCAACTTCATCTTGAATATTGTTAAGTTGTTGTTAAGTGCCTTCGAGTCGGTTCCGACCCATAGCGACCCTATACAGGGTTTCCGAGGGTGTAAATCTTTACGGGAGTAGAAAGCCTCATCTTTCTCCCGCGGAGCGGCTGGTAGTTTCGAACCGCTGACCTTAAGGTTCGCAGCCCGATTCGTAACCACTACGCTACCAGAGCTCCTTATCTTGAATATTATACGAACTTAAATACGTCATGCTGACACATTTTGTGCGACACAATGTGCCAGGCTACCATAGACATTTATAATTCTGCTTTTAAAGACTAGACAGAATAGAAAATTACACCTTAATATAAATCAGAGTAATGGACATAAAGACTTTTATTATTAAGATCCAAGAAAAATGGAAAACTATCATATGCTTAGCCATTCATTTAAAAAAAATATTTAAGCACATTAAAATGAGTAAAAATAAAGTAAAAGCATGTTGAGTATAAAAATAAAGTAATACATATAAGCAAATTTAAATAAATATATATACATATATATATATATAATATTTACTTTCTATGGTAAAAGGTGTATTTTAAAGACTCTCAAGAACTATTATGTAGTCACTGATCACAAAAATAAAATGACTGCTGATGATTATATGTGAGCGAAAACTTAAAACCAATGTGTGGGATCTCTTCCATGTTGATGTAAATTCTAAAGTACCTACATTTGCACATTCTTCACACATGACTGTGCTAGTTAATTCACCAATAAATATCCGATCTATGAAGTTCATTTTCACACCTTCTTTTCCATATGCTGTAAAAATAATACATTTTTAGTATTAAAAAATGTCGCCCATCAGTCTAACAATATAACATTTTCAGTTTATTAAAAAGTAATGTCAATAAGACAGATGTCCACACTGCATTTAGTAATTTACTATATTTCTTTTTCCTTTTATAGAGAAAACATGACTATCATCTATGAACTACAAAATAATGAACTGTTCTTATAATTAAGAGGTAAATTAAATAGAACGATGATCATTGTTTAAACCAATTTCAGCTGCTCCCATTAAACCCGTGAAGCTGTTGCATCTAATCTAGAAGTCGACGGGGGAATGGGAAAGGATACCATGTTTGCAGGACCACAGATGTCAGAGTCATGGTTAGGGAAACAACATAGTGTAGCTAATGATGAAGAAATAGAACAGTGTCAGAAATAAATATGGACAATTAATAACAGCTACACTCTGAGTTAATGTGCTGGACTGCAAGGTTGAATTGCTAGGTTGGCAGTTCAAGCTCACCAGCCGCTCCTCAGATATCTATACAGGGTCACTCTTAGTTGGCACTGACTCAATGGCACGTAACAAGAGCAACAACAATTAATATAAATATGTGTTTAGAAATAGTATGGTAAATTAAGACATTTCATTAGGAAAACTACAATGGACTAAAAGTAGAGAGATTATAAATCTGGAGAGGAAAGAAACATTGTGCTGTTATTCTAAACATGCACTAGATGGCACTATCTCAACACAAAAGAAATAAGAATATACTTGAGAATGTATGCATTTTTAAAAACCTTGAACCCTGCACTAAAATCAATTTTAGAATGTACAATTACACTATATAAAGGTTTATAAATTATACACATGTAGGAACCCTGGTAACAAACAACATATGAATTATAAGCTGAGGCTTTCTGCTGCCATAAAAATTTATAGACTTGGAAACCATATACAGGGCGGGCCACTATGAGTAGGAACTGATTCTATGACACACAACCACCACTAGTAGGTACATGGCAAAACTGCAAAAAATATAAAACAAAATAATAAACAAATATTTTTAAATGTCTCTTAGAAACAATGACTTCATACTGTTGTTGTTGTTAAGTTGGTTCCAACCCATAGCGACCCTGTATAGGGTTTCCAAGGAGCATCTGGTGAGCTTGAACCACCGACCTTGCAGTTCAAACAGCTTTGCAGTCTGGCACATTAATCCACAGCGCCACACCAGGACTTCATATTACCATTAGTTACCTCAAGGCAGAATATATGCTTATTGTTGTTGTTAAGTACTGTTGAGTAGATTCCGATCCATAGTGACCCTGTATAAGGTTTCCAAGGAGCAGTTGGTGAGCTTGAACCACCAACCTTGCAGTTCAAAAGACTTTGCAGTCTGATGCATTAGTCCACAAAACCACACCAGGACTCCTAGAATATACACTTTTGTTGTTGTTGTGAAGTGCCGTTGAGTCGGTTCTGACCCAGTGACCCTGTGCAAGGTTTCCAAGGAGCAGCTGGTGAGCTTGAACTGCTGACCTTGCAGTTCAAATGGCTTTGCTGTCTGGCGCATTAACCCACAGCGCCACATCATACGCTTAGGGCTCAGTAAATCAATAACATGTAATATAAACCCACATTTCAATCTTGATAATTGTGATTAGTAATAATCACTGTTTTCATCTCAGAACTTGGCTGATGAAGAGCTAACACCAAAACTAAATCAACTATGCACATGATGGTTTGGTGTTCTCCTCAATAAATTATTTCTTCACTGAATCTCTGAAGCATGTAAATATTTGTCTAGTTAAAACTGGATATAATGAAGCAATATACGAAAGGATGAATGTAAAACGAATGCTCTCCCATGTAAACTATCACATAATTCACAATAAAACATTAAAAAACAAAACAAAACAAAAACTAGATAATATCCATGTTTCTTTTAACTCCTTTGGGCTCTGGACCTTCAAGCTGATATGTATATGTGACACTTACTAGTTTTACTTATAAAAATTCACATGGATTCATTCTAACATTTTCTGTGTCTTTAAACCACTGGAATACGTAAACCCTCCTTTTTTTTTTTTTTCTTTCCCACTCAGGCATATATAATAATTTACATCTCCAAAGGGCACATTCTGCAAGTCTGCTCCTGGCCACCAGCTCTTTGTCCTTCTCTTCTTAGTCC